GGAAAAATTAATTGGGAAACCCTAATGTAGAGGGGAAAAAAGGAGACATGAATTGTGCCTTGTGGTATTGCAGCAAAAAGAGATCGTGACAGGAGGTGGTGACAGAATGGAAAGTTGAAGGAGTGTTGGGTGGTATGATGAAAACCAGGAAATGACAGTGCCACAAAAGTCAAGGCTGTGAAAGGTTTTAAGGAAGCGTGTGACTGTAGTAGGTTTCCACTTCAAATTAATAGCACTTGTTATTGAACAGGGCGGCTCTAGCACGGCAGAAATTTGCCTTTTATGTTCGGACATTGACAAAATTTTCTCAATTTATCGCTATCAAATTTAAACTCAAGTTATTTGAATAAAATCATTTATTTTCCACTAGAATCTTGCAAACATTTTAAAAATTATAAAGTAAATCTGATCTATGTAAGTGGTCTACAGCAGCATGAAATGTCTTAATGAAAAGAGAAAATTATTTAATAAACATTGGTCAAGGGTATTAGAAGACCAGGCATCAATGCTGAATTTTAGCAGCGTTGTATCCCTTTAATCTCCAAGGGTTTCTAAAAAGAAAAAACCTGCAGTTGTCCAGGGATCTGGTCACCAATGGAATCACTTGGAAGAAAAAGAAATATCCAGGCACACCTGAGGTTTATTCTAAAAGGCAGTCTTTTTTATTTGAAACAAGGAAGTGGAGACAAAGTTAAAGGACCACTATAGTGCCAGGAAAACATATTCGTTTTCCTGGCACTATAGTGCCCTGAGGGTGCCCCCACCCTCAGGGTCCCCCTCCCGCCCGGCTCTGGAAAGGGGAAAGGGTTAAAAACTTACCTTTTTCCAGCGCTGGGCGGGGAGCTCTCTGCCTCCTCTCCTCCTCCGTTCCTCCTCCTGGGCTGAATGCGCACGCGCGGCAAGAGCTGCGCGCGCATTCAGCCCGTCGCATAGGAAAGCATTTACAATGCTTTCCTATGGACGCTTGCGTGCTCTCACTGTGAAAATCACAGTGAGAAGCACGCAAGCGCCTCTAGTGGCTGTCAATGAGACAGCCACTAGAGGGAATAGGGGGAAGGCTTAACCCATTCATAAACATAGCAGTTTCTCTGAAACTGCTATGTTTATGAAAAAATGGGTTAACCCTAGCTGGACCTGGCACCCAGACCACTTCATTAAGCTGAAGTGGTCTGGGTGCCTAGAGTGGTCCTTTAAGGCTCATCTCTGAGCCTTTATCAAGGCCAAAAATCTCATCATAATTTTACAACATGACAGGAGGCTTCATAATCTCTCTTTACTAGCTCCACAGCTGTGAAGAAAAAAAAACCAATCACAAGAGAGTAGGATGTACATGACAATCACTTTCTCTTTCTTTGCTGCTCCATCAAGCAGACAGGTCAAAGTATTACTCTTCTCCATTACTTTATGGTTCTATTGACTTTTTGAGGTTGTTTCTGTATTAAATGTTTTGATATACTTTGCTGTTTGTTCTTGCTGTGCTTCTGCAAGGTGTACAGCTGTGTTTTTTTCTATGTTATTTATTGTGTTTCTACCTTGTTCTTGGTTTCTGAACCTATCCCCTCCTTGCCCTCACTTCTCTGGGGGCTTGAGGGCTTCTGGGTATTACTGGCGTTGCATGTTTATGTTGAATTACGCCATTTATGTAAGCTGTTTAACCCCTTAAGGTCACATGACATGTGTGACATGTCATGATTCCCTTTAATTCCAGAAGTTTGGTCCTTAAGGGGTTAAAGGGGGTTAACTACAGGGCTGCCATCAGAAATTTTGGGGCCCCTGACACCGTTCAAAGTCTGGGCCCCCCGGACCTGCCCTCGAGTCTGCCCACGGGGCCCATTCTGAGTACACCCACAAGGATGCTCTGTCTGTGTGGTGTGTAAAAGGGATACAGATTGCACATTTGTATAATGAATGTAGTTTTGTGTGTTTTAGATAAAGTGTGTGTTTGTGTAGTGAATGCAGAGTGTGTTGTGAATGCAATGTGTGTTTGTGTTGTGGTTTTAGTGTGTGTAAATGTGTAAAATAGGGGGCTGCATTGGGGGGAGTGGATATTTACATCTATTTAACACACAATTGTATTCCCCCCTCCCTGCTTCTTACCTGACTAGGGAGGAGGGAGATTGCATCCCTGGTGTTCCGGTGGTATGGTGGAGGGAGCCAGCCGCTGTACAACGTAGACGGGGGCCAGCCAGCACCATCTTAACTTTCCAGCAGCTCCTGTGTCTAACTCTCGCGAAGTTCGCGCAGAGCGTTGCCATGGTAACCCGTGACAGAGCTGTGGCCTGCACTTAATGGTTCATACCCTGTGCACCTGGGGTGAGGCCCCTACTATATTTGTGCTGCACTGTGCTGCTGTATTGAGACATGCTGCTACAGCCTTTGTTAGCTGCAGGACAAGATTTCCAGGACATACTGCTTAAAGGAATATCTCCCATAACCTTGAATTAACCATTTGAGCACATATTAGTGTGTGGGCAGCACTTAAAGGACCAATATAGGCACCCAGACCACTTCAGCTCAATGAAATGGTCTGGGCGCCAGGTCCATCTAGGTTTCACCCTGCAGCTGTAAACATAGTTTCAGAGAAACTGCTATGTTTACACTAGGGTTAATCAAGCCTCTAGTGGCGGTCTTATTGACAGCAGCTAGAAGCGCTTCCGCGCTGCTCACTGAAAATCACAGTGAGAAGATGCTGCCGTCCATAGGAAAGCATTGAGAAATGCTTTCCTATGGACTGGTTGAATGCGCGCACAGCTCTTGCCTTGCGCTGACGTCGGAAGAGGGAGGAGAGATCCCCAGCATTGAGGGAGCCGGAGAAAGGAAAGAGTATAACCCCTTCAGTCCGGCGAGAGTGGGACCCTGAGGGTGGGGGAACCAAAGGATCCTATAGTGGTCGTTTAAGAGTTCATACCCTGTGCACCTGAG